TCCCCGCCTTGGCTCCTCCCTGTAGTCCTGGCTCCACCCCCAGTATCTCCCCACCTTGGTTCCTCCCTGTAGTTCTGGCTCCACCCCCAGTATCTCCCCACCTTGGTTCCTCCATGTAGTTCTGGCTCCACCCCCAGTATCTCCCCACCTTGGTTCCTCCCTGTAGTCCTGGCTCTGCCCCTGGCTCCACCTCAGCTCCACCCCATGGCTTTAACATGGACCTTGAAGTGCTGTGACCTGCTAATGGTTGATTTCCAGCATTTTGACAAACGGACCTGGGAAAGCATTTTGACGGATGCGGCCCAGGGCTCTCCACTAGCCATTTCTTCAAGAATTAATTGAAAAAAATTTGAAGCACATAAAAAATTTTCGTACAACACACACGACTTAACTAAATTCAGTAACACACTATTCCATGAAGTTCAAGAAAGGTCCTATCACTTACGGCATTAACTAACAAACAGTTTTATTAAATTCATAAATCTGATAATTCAGTTTCATAACTGTATTCAAAATAAGGCACTAAGCAGCCACTTCATTTTAAGACCGGAAAGGTTCCCTCTCTGCTAAACATGCTCACAAACACTACGAGCAGAGAGGTGGCTATGACTGAAAACACACACACACAAACACACACACACACACACACACACACACACACACTCTCTCTCTCTCTCTCTCAGTCTCACTCTACACTTTGCTGCACAGTGCCTATTAAAGCGCAGCCTTTCGCAAGCATCGCCCATTGCAGTAATAGTACGTCTGCCGTTCTTCGAAGTTGGGAAGTTAAACCTTGTCACATTGCCAACGTTTGTTTTGCAGTCGGCCAATCAAGTGCGACTTCCTGGTGATAATTTCAAGCTGCCCACTGTATGTGCATTGGTCGAGCACAGCAAGAGCTTACCATTGTTAATTCCCTTACGAGATAAAGACGCTGGTAGCGGACTTGCTAGCCTAGCTACTATTACAATTTCCTTCTTTTCAGCTTCTTTCATTTATGGGCTAAAGTCAAAATCGTAAGATAAAAAAATAAAGAACCATTGGCAATTTATAGAAGAAACAGGCTAGGCTATTAGTTACTTTCAAAAGCTTGTCTGATGTGGTGTGCACACTGCCCCCTATTGAAAAATAAAATGCTGCGCCCCTTATTGATCCACAAAAATACATAATTTTTCATGTATTTTCCTACTTTCCTATTTTCCATGATTTTCCTAGAATTGCCTAAATTAATGTAGAGACTGTTGATCTAAAGTGGCTGTTTACCCTGCGTGCTCATTTGGTTGAGTGTGTTTTGGTGGGGGGACGATGTATTATTGTTTATCTCAATACTTTTAAATTAAAATATCATATATAATTTTTTAAGATATCGCCCAGATTTAAATTGATTTCATTTTTCACCAGCTGCTGCCATTAACTGAGCGACTTCAGCCATTTGAGTGTTCAGGGAAGCATCATGCAGTGTGTCTGTTGCCGTGGTAGTTGTTTTGTTGAGCATGAGTACCAATTACTTAGTTTAGAATGCTGAGTACTGGGTCGTTTACCAGTGTGATGCATGCTGGGAATAGTAGTTCTAACCTACTTAACAGTTACTAGTCAATTCAGTGTAGCTTTCCAGAAAGAACTACAGGTATAATGTCATTGTTCAGTTCAGTTCGCACACGTCAGGGACTGCTTTTTGTAATTTGCATGCATCGATTCTTATTTGCCTACGTGACTAAAATGCGGCACTGTAGCTTTTATTTGCTTATTTTTTTGTATTTTGTGCACCATTTTGTGGTCTGTCTGCGGTCATGTGACCATTTCCTCCATGCATTTCACACCCAGGGCAGGAGTTTGACGTGCGAGCAAAGTGTGTCGTCAACGCCACGGGGCCATTCACCGACTCACTACGGAAGATGGATGACCAGAGCACCCACAACATCTGTCAGCCCAGTGCGGGAGTGCACATCGTCATCCCAGGCTATTATTGGTAACCACCCACCAACCCGAAGGATCTGCAAGGCATTGAGTAACAATTTTGCATCATGTAACCTAAGTAAATTAGTGCTGCGGAGTCAGTCACTTAGACTCAGAATGGAGCTTGACGGCCCTTGGTCAGCCCAGTCGAGCTCTCCTGCAGACGAGGGAGTGAATAATCTCACCCATTGTGCTTCCAGCCCAGAGAGCATGGGGCTCCTAGACCCAGCCACCAGCGACGGCCGAGTCATCTTCTTCCTGCCCTGGGAGAAGGTGACGATCGCTGGGACGACAGACACACCCACCGAGGTCACAGCCCACCCTGTCCCAGTGGAGGAGGACATCAACTTCATCCTGAGGGAGATCCGCAGCTACCTGAGCCCTGACGTGGAAGGTAAGCAGCCCGTCTGCTGCATGTGTCTGCATGGAGCTGCAGTGTGCTGTCTCCGCCAGTGTGCGCTGCACATGCCCCCCTGCTCAGTGAAATTACCTTTATGCTAATGCATTTTTTAAAAGCCACTTAATTTTTTTTTCAAACCACAAATTCTCAGAGAGGGTACTTCTAAGATTTCTGTGTTGCCATTAACTTAAAAACAATATAAATCAGCTTTGGCCGTTCTACACGTCAGGACTGCCCAGGCTCAGCCAGTGCTCAGCTGATATTGTGTTAGACCAGGGATGGGCAATCTTATCCACTAAGGGCCAGTGTGTATGCAGGCTTTTGGATAACCTTTTGGTCAGCTTTTCAAACCCAGGTCTGAGGACTCTTCAGCCAATCAGTCCTCTAATTAGTAATCTAATTAGGGAGTTGCAACAAAAAGCCACATACATATACCGGCCCTTTGCGGATAAGATTGCCCACCGCTGGTTTAGAGAATCAGTCAATAACTCACAGCCAATGGGAAGTTGCTACTGGGCTACATGGCCCCGCCCTGACTCCGCCCCAGCCCCACCCCCCACCTAATATGGTTCTGTCCTGTTTCACACTCACCCAGTGAGACGAGGGGATGTTCTGGCTGCCTGGAGCGGTATCCGTCCACTGGTAACAGACCCCAACTCTAAGGACACTCAGTCCATCTGTCGCAACCACATCGTGAACATCAGCGACAGTGGGCTGGTCACTATAGCAGGTAGGGAAGGCACTTTAGTATTTTCAATGCTAAGAAATTCAAATGTCTTGCATCTGAAAAAAGAGAAACAAAAACGGCAAAAATAGGAACAAAAACGGCAAACATAGCAAATGCAACAGCTGTTTTGTCATCAAGTAATCAATGTAAATGTTGGTATGGAAGGAAATTAAATAGTGATATACTGTAGCTGCATTCCTGCAATGTACACAGTCAGGGAGCGTAACAAGCCTGTTTGCCCCCCCGAGGCGGAAAATGGACGACATACCGCTCCATGGCTGAGGAAACGCTGGATGCGGCAATCAAGGCCCACAACCTGCAGGCTGGGCCGTGCAGAACCGTGGGCCTTTTGCTGGAGGGCGGGAAAGACTGGAGCCCCACCCTGTACATCCGACTGGTCCAGGACTACGGACTGGAGGTGGAGGTGAGTCCAATTTAGCCTTACAGCTAAACCATATGGTTCAAAAATTGGTAGTTCAGTCCAAGCAAGAACCCTATGACCCAAATTCTAAATTAGATCCAATGGATCCTCTCCCAGGTACCTTAGATCCAATGGATCCTCTCCCAGGTCCCTTAGATCCAATGGATCCTCTCCCAGGTCCCTTAGATCCAATGGATCCTCTTCCTGGTCCCTTAGATCCAATGGATCCTCCCCCAGGTCCCTTACATAGGCTTTGATACACTTGCAACCCCACTGGACCCGACACTAGGCTGACTTGTGTTGAGGGGGCAGTCAGAGAATTTAGCTGGGAATTAAGACTTTTATATCTGATACTTTCTCATGCGTTCCCACCCCCCGCCCCCCAGGCCCAGCCATCAATGGCATGAATTTGCCAAGTTGTTTCAGTGCAAAAAAACAACCTCTTAATTGGATCAGTACTTTCAATCCTCGATGACACTCAGCTCTCCGGGATGGCGAATGGGCCACGTAGTGGTAAATAGGGAACAGTGAGCAGGAGATGGGGATGCTGACAGCACCAACTCCGTGAGAGACTTTTAACCCCACGCTGAACAAGAGCCATAAAGGGAGCCTCAGCTATGATCCGGATGTTTCCGGATTGTTTAAAAAGGTCAATATGCTGATATCTTTGACAGCACTTGACCTTTAGCAAGAAAAAGTAGCACAGCTATTGGAAGTGAAGTTGGTTACTCTTCGTTAAGTTCAGTCACGCGGCGCATTGCAGCCGTGGCATCAGCCTATCGATTCGGCCTGGCAGACGGCATGCTTAAGGACCCCCCCAACCCACCCACGCACCCAGGCTCTGCTTTCAGCGGCACATACTCTCCAATTCCAGGTTGCCAAGCACCTCGCCTCAACATACGGAGGAAAGGCCTTCGAGGTGGCGAAAATTGCCCGGGTCACCGGGCAGAGGTGGCCCATAGTGGGCAAGCGGCTCGTTTCGGAGTTCCCCTACATCGAGAGCGAGGTAGGCGTCCGCCGCAGCACGCTTCCGCAAACACCGCGAGCCACGCTTATCCCCCGCGGTGTTAACAGTGAAGATTAAAGTCCGTGACACCTTCCTGCCGCCCAGGTCCACTACGCGGTGCAGCAGTACGCCTGCACGGCCATCGACGTCATCGCCCGCCGCACGCGTCTGGGCTTCCTGAACGTGCAGGCGGCCGAGCAGGCCCTGCCCCGCATCGTGGACATCATGGGGAAGCAGCTTGGCTGGAATGAGCAGAAGAAGCAGGTACCGCTGGCTCGCCGACCGGAGTAACCATACACCACGTTTTTAACGAGGTCACCGATGTACAAACGTTTAGTGGCAGACCTCGAGATGGGATCCCTGTAAGATGGTACAGAGCGCTGAGTGACCCCACACTGACTGGAACAAGCTCGCTATCTAGGAAACAGGGGAAGAGGCTACTAGACGTTATGAGCCTAACTGTTGGATAGACTTTTAAATGAATTGTTGCTTTAAGAGGGCAGTTTACACGTCCGCTGTATTGTGCTTGGAACAAAAGGCCCGCGGCTCTGAGAATCCATGCGGTGGGGGCAGCCTATTCTTACCTTTCTGTCTATGGTGGACTTCCTGTCTGGCAAATTCCCCTCTATAAATAGCGATGTAGCTGCCTGAAGCCGCCGCATCGGCTTCTGATTCCCATAAGTCGGGCTCTGGATGGGTCTCCGCCTTGCCCCAATTCTCCTGGTGGGCTTATCGCTTGGGGGTAATCAAACCTTCCCCAAGCACAGATCTCTTTGTAAGCATGGGTGTACATCCCAGCATGTCCTGACTCCCAGGATGGGTCCTTCTGTTGAACCTTAGAGAAATATCTGACCTGAATTCTAATGTACTGCTCACTTACTAAAGTAGTTTCACGTTTAGATTTAAATATATTAATATGAAGTACATGGTGTACATTAATAAAAAGTAACATAACAGGTTTATATGAACAACTGAGTGTAATTACAGGAATTCAATTTAGAATAGCTTGAGATATGAAGCCAATAATCATAGCCCTTGAAGGTGTTAATCCAATCAATGATCAGTTTTTTTCACCCTGCATATTGTTGCGTTTCTGGACTCTAAACCCACCCCTCCTTAGAAAGAGCTGGAAGCTGCCAGAGAATTCCTGTACCAAGAGATGGGCTATAAGGCTCGGTGGGAGCAGCTGACCAACACGTCCGAGATCAGCCTCACACCCGAAGAGGTTGAACGGTGAGTGGAGCTCGGAGGGTTGAGATGGTCCTCTGGTCATGTTAACTCGACTTCATTGATAATATCAAACTTCCTTCATGATCTGCAGGTACAAGAAAAGGTTCCACAAGTTTGACAAAGGAAATAAGGGGTTCATCACCACTGTGGATGTCCAGCAGGTCCTGGAGGTGAGTTTTTTTCCCCTTGGTCTCTGTTTTTTACTGAGGAAGCTTCTGGATGCTTACTGGAGGATGGTTACTAGAGGAGCTCCTTGAGAGTCCTCTCCATCTCACCTTCTCATAGCAGCCTGGCATCCGAGGACGGCGGAGCACAGTAACCATGACAGCGGGTTTCTCCCTCTCCGCCGAGGGTCCCGGAGGGGGTTGGGATTACTTGGTGATAATGCGCACAAACAGATGAGCTTAAGGGCCAGCGAGCCCTTCGGTGGCGGGGGTGCGTGGGATTATCCCGCTCCCCGGTGTAGGAAGCCAGACAACACGAGCGCTGGGCTATTAACACAACCAAGCTCACTTCAGGCTGATGATTCCATCTTGCGCCATCCGTTCCCTGCGCTGGGCCAGACTCATCCTGGGGTCCCGCGTGTTGGTCAGTCAGCTTTAATTGAGCTGGAGGTTTGCTATGGGGCTCGTCTGGGGAGCTCTGATCTCAAATAGATAAAACCATGATGACAATGACCTCATTATGTGGTTTGATATCTAAATAAAACACATAAAAAAGAGAACCAAAAGTGTCCAAATCACCTAGGCCCTGTGGTCAAGCTTCTCAATGTCAGATGAATGCGCTCTTATATGTGCCAGCTTGTGTGCACGTTTCAAACCAGCGTGGTTTGTGTCCTTTAGAAACAGTATAGTCTCTGACTGCATTTCCCAGAAGTCTGTGCGTAACAGTACCTCACTTCCTCTCCCCAGAGCATCAGCATCCAGATTGACGAGAACATGCTGCACGAAATTCTTAACGAAGTCGACCTCAACAAAAACGGGCAGGTTGAACTGAATGAATTCCTGCAGGTATGAGGTTTTACTGTTTGGTTGTGTGTGTGACCTTCCCATGATATTATGTTCCATGTGGCCACACCAACAGATGCGGATGAATGCAAGGTAGCAGATCACTTTTAAGGACAGGGAACTAGGATGAGTCCGGCTATCACTTTAAGCATTTTAACATCAGGCACTTCACAACAGGCTACAGCAGCGACTTAGACTGAGGAAATCTACCAGAGGCTGCATTCAAGTACAGCCACACGTGTTGCATTAACTGCATCCATCCATTTTCTGTAATCGCTTGTCCTATTCAGGGCCACTGGGGCTATGGGCACAAGGCAAGGAACAACCCAGAATGGGGCAGCAACCAATCACAGGGCACACTCACACCTGTCACTCACACATGCACATATTTGGGCATTTTGGTAACTCCAGTTAACTTTAGCATGTTTTTGGACCATGGGAGGAATCCAGGGTGACTGGAGGAAACCCCACGATGACACGGGGAGAGCATGTAAACCCCACACACATGCAGCCATAGCAGAGACTCAAACCCTTGTCCCAATGGTGTGAGGCAACAGTGCTAATCACTGCGCCTCTGTGCCGTGTTGCATTGAGTGCACGACACAATTTAATGACTTTTTTTCCTGACATGTCAAGGGACAGTGCCATGGCAAGAAACACCAATACAAAGAGGATTTCTGAACGATTACATTTGTTGACAAAACAGCATTAGACTTTGTTTGAGACAGTTATACAATCTGTTATTCTTGTGGAATAAATTGAAACATGTCATCTCTATGTCTGAAACACACGACATGGACAAAAGTATTGGGACACCAGGCCATTAAACCCACAGGAACTTTTATGACATCCCATCCTAAATCCACAGGCATCAGTATGGAATTGGGCCCCCCTTTGCAGCTATAACAGCTGCCACTCTTCTGGGGAGGCTTTCCACAAGATTTTGGAGTGTGTCTGTAGGAATTTTTGCCCATTTAACCAGAAGAAGGTGACTGATTGAGTTGAGGTCAGGGCTTTACAATTGTCCAAAATGTCTTGGTATGTTGAAGCATTAAGAGTTCCCTTCACTGGCACTAAGGGGCCTTGCCCAACCCCAGAAAAACACCCCCATACCATTATCCACCAAACTTTACCGTTGGCATAATGCAGTCAGACAGGTAATGTCCTCCTGGCATCTGCTAAACCCAGATTCGTTCCTCAGACTGGCAGACAGAGAAACGTAATTGGTCACTCCATAGAACATGTATCCACTGCTCCATAGTCCAGTGGCAGTGTGCTTTACACCACTGCATCTAACGCTTCGTATTGTACTTGGTGATGTGAGGCCTGCATGCAGCTGCTCAGCCATGGAAGCCCATTCCATGAAGCTCCCAGGACAGAGTTTTTGTGCTGAGGTTAATGCCAGAGGAAGTTTGGAGCTCAGTTATTGAGTCGACAGAGTGTTGGCGACTTTCACTCGCTATGTGCCTCAGTACTCGGTGACCCAGCTGTGTTATGTAAGTGGAGTTTCTGTTGTTCCTAAATGCTTCCACTTTTCAATAACACCACTTACAGTTGACTGGAATATCTAGCACGGAAGAAATTTCACAAACTGACTTATTGCAAAGGTGGCATCCTATGACAGCACCCTGCTTGAGTTCACTGAGCTCTTCAGAACAGCCCTTTCTTTCACAAATGTTTGTAAACCTGACTGCATGGCTGGGTGCTTGATTTTATACACCTGTGGCAATGGGTCTGAATGTAACACTTGGATTCAGTGACTGAGAGGTGTGTCCCAATACTTTTGTCCATATAGTGTATTTACTCTTTAAACAGCAGGAAACCAGGTATCTAAATTATAAATGTGTGAAACCAAAATATCTTAAACAGTTATCACACATTGTGAAGTGTATTTGTTTGAAACAGTTACACAGTTTGAACCACCTGTTACATAAGAACAGATACTCCCAAAAGTACAGCAAATGAGTCTGAATCAGGTGCAATTCCTGCTTTACTTTATAAATTACTTAGTGGATGTCAAATTTTACTTTGGATTTAAATTTTTGAATCTTTATGACTTAAACAAGCCAGGTCATACAAATGCCCAGAACACCAAACTTTAATGCATGGATGCTCTTCATACACGTCCACGTTTGTGTTTTTGTGGCCGTGACAAACAAGCGCAGTGCGTGAGGACCAGTGCAGCCGGTGGCGGCACAGACACAAAAATGCTGCCGGCTTTCGCGCGCAGAGAATCATTCACATCATTTGCGTCATAAACGTTTGTGGGGGCACATCCGCATGGAAGCATCTAGAGAAGTATGAAAAGGCCTTTGGTCCAAAGAGATGATAACGTTATAGAAGCTGGTGGGGAGGGCCACAGACAGGTACAGAGCAGAGCTGACACCATTACGCGATTAAACTCGATTAAACTCGATTAAACTCGATTAATCGATTATTGGTATAATTGACAACGACACACCATTTCACTTTGTGACATGTGACGTTACAGCCACTGGTGGTCAAACCTACCCTGTACAAATCAACAAAGGCAACCTATTCTTAGCAGGCTGGCTAAAAGTATTTCTAGAAGTAAGCTTTTTTCATTTTTCATTATCACCCGCGAAGGGAAAATGACGTTTTTCTACTTTTTCAAACAATTTTCTTTTCCTCCGTCCTCCAGGTAATGAGTGCCAGGTCTAGTTAGAACAGCTTGCTAAGCGCACCGCAAGTGTGAAAGCTTAACGGCGGTCGGGCGCCCCCATGTTACACATTCCGGAACATTCTTTCCCTGACGTTCAGGTTCCAGAAGAGGAAACCAATTAGATGTCTGAGTGGAGATCCGTTTTTAATGAGTGAGAAATTTGCCCGCGTTGGGAGCAGCCTTCTCATGGTAAATTAGCCCACGCCGGGCTGGGGGGGGAGGGGTTTTACAGGCCCCGCCCCTCTGAATGCGGCTGAGATATCAGCGATCGGGTCGATAACAGAGTTTAATGGAAGAGGAGAACTCATTCCTCTCCTGCTGGCCTTTTAAAGAAACGGCATAGAGCTGAGTCACACGGAGTTTGGCCTGACTGTGGCGCATTTCAAAATGATAATGAGCCTTCGGTTTCATGTATGCTTCTGTATATGCACACACAAACCCACACACACACACACACACACACACTGCACCACAGCTGGAAATCTCAACACACTGAGCCATAGGTTTTTTTCCGCCCCACCCCACTACGCACCAGAAGAGGTGCCGGAGACCCCAGCTGGTGGCTGGTGGTTTCGCACTAATACCCTTGCTGTCCTGAAAATGCCCAGCTGGATACAGTGGTGAGACGTGTGGGTAGTTTTGCTTAAAGGTGTGACCTGAGTAACTAAGTATACTTGAATATTAAGCTGATGTAGAGAACAGAAATATCTCCTTTTATAGTATGAGCTCATAAGAATACTTTCCCTTCAACTGCAGAAACTGTTGACCTTTTCCTTAAAATCGTCCATTTAGTAACCGCATGTGGCCATGAAACCATGAAGCTCGCCTGTCTCCCTGGTCCTACTCGCCTGTCTATCAGGTCCTACTCGCCTGTCTCTCGGATCCTACTCGCCTGTCTCTCGGATCCTACTCGCCTGTCTCTCGGATCCTCCTCTCCAGTCTCCCTGGTCCTACTCGCCTGTCTCTCAGGTCCTACTGACCTGTCTCTCGGGTCTTACTCACCTGTCTCTCAGGTCCTACTCGCCTGTCTCTCGGATCCTACTCGCCTGTCTCTCGGATCCTCCTCTCCAGTCTCCTTGGTCCTACTCGCCTGTCTATCAGGTCCTACTCGCCTGTGTCTCGGGTCCTCCTCTCCGGTCTCCCTGGTCCTGTTCGTCTGTCTCCTGGGTCCTACTCACCTGTCTCTCGTGTCCTCCTCTCCGGTCTCCCTGGTCCTGCTCGTCTTCCTCCCGGGTCCTACTCACCTATGTCTCGGGTCCTACTCGCCTGTCTCTCGGATCCTACTCACCTGTCTCTCGGATCCTACTCGCCTGTCTCTCGGATCCTCCTCTCCAGTCTCCCTGGTCCTACTCGCCTGTCTCTCAGGTCCTAATGACCTGTCTCTCGGGTCTTACTCACCTGTCTCTCAGGTCCTACTCACCTGTCTCTCGGATCCTACTCGCCTGTATCTCGGATCCTCCTCTCCAGTCTCCTTGGTCCTACTCGCCTGTGTCTCGAGTCCTCCTCTCCGGTCTCCCTGGTCCTGTTTGTCTGTCTCCTGGGTCCTACTCACCTGTCTCTCGTGTCCTCCTCTCCAGTCTCCCTGATCATCCACTATGAACTGCCTGCTTGTTTTGCCTGCCTCATATTGAACAAGCCTGCCGATGAATGGAAATGAAGTGAATGAACATTCCTGCAAAAAAATGATGACATGATGTAGGTGCTAAGCACCAGACTGGCCTGTAGACGTGCCACTAGGTAACCCCTCACCCCTGTCTCGTTACAGCTGATGAGCGCTGTAAAGAAGGGCACAGTGTCAGATAGCCGGCTGGCTGTCCTGATGAAGACCGTGGAGGAGAGCTTGGAGGAGAGAGGACCTGTGACCGTGGACCGGAGTGGTGGAGGGGTGTAGGCCAGGCATCCAACCCCCCCACAGGGAAACCAGCACAGTCCCCGAGCCCCCCCCCCCCTCCCAATCCAGATACACTCAAACACAGTCCGTTTATGATGAGTAATATTATCATCATACTATCTTTTAAAATATTTTTTACATTTTTCAGAAAGCTTCTCTTGTCATACGTAAAGCATGCACTTTTATTTCTATATTATTGCCAATTTTCTATTTTGCCAATGATATTCCAAACATTTTATACTTAATATTTATCCAGACCTCTAATTTAATATGCCAAACATTGCTTCTTTGCACTGCAGACAGCCCAAAATACGCACAGCTGAGTGTAACGATTTGAGTTCTGTGTTTTTGAACACGCATTTTAGTTTCCTTGTCCCGTTGCTGAATATTTCCCGTTTTTCTTGCTAAATTATTTTTAAGACCTGCCGTTTTTCATGTGCCATGCTGCTATGACATTTTAGCCTTTTTCAAAAGATTTTTTTTCAAGATAATCAGATTTATAACAATTCTCTGGTTGCCAGGATATGTTGAAATGCCTTTGGCTTTATTTAATATCTTTAATCGCAAAAATACAGTTTCCCTCTTGCAATTATGTAATATATAAATTTGAATCGTATCCACATACTACTTTATTTCACATTCTAATTTGCTTTTTAATGATATGCAGAGTCATCAGTTAAGGCATTTATACGCAAAGTGCTGTGGGTGTATCCGATTGGCCCACGGAAGCATTATTGGGTAACCTCATTTTGTTCCGTCAGATAGGATTAATTATTACACGTGAGGCCTGCCTTTAATTTCTGGGCCTGTCTGTGCACTTGCTGTTTTTACGGCCTGTCATTTACAGCTTGCAGTATGCCGCATGAGCCTCTCGCATTTATAGAGTCATAAGGGAAGGCGCTTAATACACTGTACCCTCAAATCTAGGATGGATTGAAACCATGAATCAACAGGGCTGTGGCTGCACTGCCGCACATGCGTGCACAAAGAACGCACACACAGAACCGCACAGAGAATGCACACACAGAACCGCACACAGACCCGCACAGAGGACGCACACACAGAACCGCACAGAGAATGCATACACAGAACCACACAGAGAATGCACACACAGAACCGCACACAGACCCGCACAGTGGACGCACACACAGAACCGCACAGAGAATGCACACACAGAACCGCACAAAGAACGCACACACAGAACCGCACACACAGAACCGCAGCTTTTCAGCAGGCTTGATAATACAAAATAATACATTTAAATAGTAAATAATATGTCTCAAAGATTTTCAAACCTCTTGAAGAGTTTTGCTGTCCCATTCATGCTTTTTATTTTATTTTTAACTTCAAATGACAGGCAGAATAGTAATTTGCTTACCCACAATGACTCACATATTCCGCTGCTCAGTCACTGAATGGCACCATGCACTATTTATCTATGCAGTTTTGTACTTATGCAGCTTGGCTTGAGAAGAGGCCCTTTCAGATGGCATCCAGCCAGCGCTGTTTCTGGCTTGAGCATTTGTCAGATGCTGCCCAGCGATATTTCCCAACTTGACTTTTTTGGTAACACTTTACTTGACGGGGGACAAATACTAAGTAATAACTCAGTTACTACTGAAGTGCAAATAATGAATAAATCATGAACAATTATAGTAACTACTTGAGATAAAAGATGCGTCACGATTCATTAATGATGAATTAACATGAGATCAGTATGTAACTAAGATTTAGTTTGCGGTTAATTAATACATAAGTAATAGCATAATGCTATATTATTTGTGCCCCATTAAATAAAACGTTAGCACTTCTTCTTAAGATTGTGCCCCACATCTGCAGCCTGACATCTCTGAGTAGGTGCTGAACATGCGTAACCAGAGCCCATCGTTAGCATGGCTAGTGGAGTCACGGAAAGGGTCCCACAAATCGCATCTAATGCTGCCTGTGCGATGCTCTGGTCCTTCAAACAGCCTGTAAGGCACTGAGCAGAACATTGGCTCTCTGAGAGCAGCGTAGCAAAGTTCACATTAATGCGCATCTAACCATCTTCTAACCATGTATCCTGGTCATCAGGACATTTTGCTCATGTTTTTTATTTTATTTTTTTTAGATTGTCAATTGTTTGCTGTTCTTTTAGTGAAAATCCAGTACAGTAAAAATAGCAAAAAAAATTGTTCAAAAACTATTCCTGCAGAAAATGATGAAGAATTCAATTTCATTGCTGGGTCACAGTGTACACTATATTATTTTAATTCCAAAATCTAAATTATCACCAGAGTATCAAAGGATATTAAATAAATACTTGAAGCTGCAGATTTATCAATTTCAGATTTAATCAAAACCTTAAAATCAAGGGGATAGCTTTACAAACCTGTCCAGAAGCGAAGGACCAGACAGTGCTGGTGTGACAAGAAACTTGGGGTCAAAGGTCAGAGGTCACCGCGATATAAGCAAGATGTGAGAAGACAGAACACCAAGACCCCTGCCATTTAGACATGACAGACACGTTGGCTAATTAACACTCATGTTCATGGAGACTAAAAATAACAGAATTTAGGATTTAATAGCAATTAAAACCTCATTCATGAAATGCGGGTAACACATGAACATGCAGAGATTTGGGACTCTGTTTAAGGTCAGTGACATCATTTATCTAAATACCGTTGGCTGATATCACGGCATCATGTAGACTGGGAATAGTTAATCGTGTCTGTGTCCGTCATTCTTACTTTTCGTCATTAACTGGAAACCCCAGTGTGACCGTTTAGAATAAAAGTTTTGTCCAGTAAGACATTCAACTGTAAATAAGAAAACAGCAGGTATAATCACAGTAAGCTCTTTATGTATTTGGTGTATCAGAATCTAAACGTGTGGCAATTAGCAACTTAATAGGGTTTTGTTCACGGATGGAAGAATCCTACTTAACATTTCCAGTTAAAATGAACCGGGAATGACCCCAATATAAACGTTGCAGCTTAAAATAAGATGGGGCAGTGGCTTCATTAGCAGTAACGGCTGCTGCCTTGTCCATGGCCGGCCCATCCAGTGCCACTGCGAGTCCACACTAACCTAAGCCGCAGTGAACCATCAAGTACATTAAGAAAAAGCAGGAACGCTGAGATTCTGATTGAGGTTAATTAGTTGTGGTTGGAATTTATGCAATACACTGAAATACTAATGAAGTATCTGAGCCAAGGTCTGTCGTTTAACTATTTGTTAAAAATAATACATCTGTAATACTTTACTTGAGGGGACGCAAATACTTAGTGGTAAGTCTGTTATTACTGAAGTACAAGTTCATCATTAACGATGAACAAACATGAGGCCAATATTTCACTTGTGTTATTCATGCCTTGTTCCTTCAGTAGTTCACAAAGGTTTGCAGAATTAACAGATACAGTAAGAAATTTAGTGTCTTTTTGGGATAAAAGATGTGCTATGATTCGTTAATGATGAACAAACATGAGGTCAGTATGTAAGTAAGACTTACTTTGTTTTGAGTAACAGCATAATGCTACATTATTTGTACCTCCTCGAGTAAAGTGTTTCCAATACGTCTGCAGGCACAGATGCCTGATCTCAGAGGGAATCGCAGTGAACGGAATCAAATATCTGTGACCTAAAGTCACAAGCAATCATCAACCACATGGAGAGAACTGCATCACAACACCGTATGATAGCAGTTCAGCACCTTTGGGTAGCATGGTTCTTTAAACGTGGGGTTCAGCGACTCCCCATTGCCTCGAAAAAGCCCAGTTTCTCGCATAATTCCTGTTTTAGGTCTGCGGTGGGAGCCTGGTCCATTTTATCATCGGGCAAGTATAGCGTTGTTGCTAAACCATAAAGAGTCTGTCAAGTGCAACAAATATCCCATCAGCCACTGCGGTGCTCCTCCAGGATTTCTCCATGTCTGTCTGATGTCCACATTGGTACCTCGACGATACCAATAACCAATCACAACCTGAATTTTTAATCAGGATGTTTGCAGCAGGGGGTTAACCCTAAAACATCTGGCTGCTGCAGCAAGACCAATAAGCAAGAGTTTCTTCATGTTTAGGGGCTTCAGAATCGTTATTCCATTTCTCACTAACATCTCTACCTAAGTCACACAGCTTGTTTTACACAGATGATGCCCTCTAATGGAATCACTGCCCGTGTTACCATGTATTACGCAGTCAGTGTTGTAGTCGGTGGCTTAGTGGGTTAGATCACTGTGCTTGTGACCAGAAGGTTGTTGGTTCAAAACCCAGTTGGCAGTGTAATCTCTCCATTGCGTAACCCCCCCTGTTTGCTTCAGGGACTGACTGACCCTGCTTCCAGTTTAACATCACTTCAGCACATCTGCTAAATAAATAAATTGTAGGAAAACATTTTAGAAAGTACTGAGCAGGGCATAACAGATGAGTGGGGGGCTGGACATTCTGGGAAGACAAACCGTGTCGCAGATACTCATCATGGTTCAGTCCCATGGCTGCTGTCCGGTTCGTTTGGCCCGGTCTGGCTGATTTACTACGAGCCAGTCCCAGCCTTGATAAATCTATTACACTTTCCTTCCGCCCATTTCATTAACGTGAATGAAAGCAGTGACACTCTCTGCATAACGGCCTTTTAATGCCTTGGCCCTGTCACCTGCCTGCATATTAATGCCCTGACTTACTGCTCCGCAGAGGAAATGAGTAAGGGCTGCTTGAATGCGATCAGCGCAGTACAAAGCAATTAGGTAGTCGCCGCAGTCCTGCGCCTTTAATCCTGAACTAATTTGAGCAGATACTTGATAGTGCTGCGAATCCCACATAATTACACAGAGAGCTGGTCCGAGGCCCGAGATCCTGGTGTCCACTGCAGGGGGGGGGGTAAAGAAATGAATGAACGGCATTTTCTATAAATATACTGTCGCTGTTGTATATTGCTTTGCACTGGATGACTTGGATGCTCTGCGATGGACTAGCATTCCCTCTGTTTCTTGGGATAGGCTCTAGGCTCTCCGATGCCCTGCTTGATGGATGGTTGGATGGATGGATGGATGGATGGATGGATGCATGCTGGCATCAGTGAGCGATGATGCATAAAAGAAGCAAAGAAGATCATTTTCTGGGCGTTTCTACTCAACCATCAGGAGAGAGAGAGGAAAAGTGAGAAAGAGAGTGAGAAGAATGGGGGAAGTATGCTAAATTAAGCCATTGTGACGGTAAATGATCTCCGGATGAGGTTCACCCTGTCTACAAGTCCGCTGTTTTCTGTGCAAAGATAACGGCTTTATTCAGTCGTGCCGGAGGTCTCTGCCAAGCCCAGCAGTGATTGATTAACTTCAATTACCAGGCACCTATTTGCATAGATAAAAAAAAAAACTGCTTTTCAATTTGCGAGGGGCAGGCGGCTGTCGACGCCCTGCCCGGGAATTTGCATGTCAATGGGAACCTCAGGGGTATTAAGGTGACAGACTGCGCTGATCACGGCTCAGCCGTCTGACAGGGGCTGCCCTAAGCATCATTTTCCACAGAAACATAAGAGTGATGTGAGCAGGGATAGGTGCCAGCAGAGGGCTCACTGGCTAAAGACGTACCCTAACTGTGCCTTGCGAAGAAATGTCTGTACGTAGCTTGAATGCTAAGCTAA